AAGCTGACAGGGCAGACTTCAGTCTGTGTTTGAAGGTCTGAGAGTCCTCAAACTGAAGAACTTAGAGTCCAATGTTTGAGGGCAGGAAGCATCCAATATGGGAGAAAGATATAGGCCAGAAGACTAAGCCAGTGTAGTCCTTCCATGTTCCTTTGCCTGCTTTTATCCTAGCTGCACTGGCAGCTGATTAGATATTGCCCACCCAGATTGAGGGTGGGTCTGCCACTTCTAGTCCACTGACTCAAATATTAATCTCCTTTGGCAACACTTTCACAGACACACCCAGGAACAACACTTTGCATCCCTCAATCCAATCAAGTTGACAATATTAACCATCACTCTCACTAAAAGGAATAATGGAGAAATGGTTAATTCCCGGTCTGGGCAGGAAAGTATAAGGTGAGCCTGGAACATATTTTTGTGCCAGAAAATAAGCAAGTACTCAAAGAATGAGGACAATGTGTGAAAAACAAAAAGCAAAAAACACACAGAAGCCAAGTTGAAGAGCCTGTTGCTGGCCAAATCTGAAACAATTTGAGGATCTAAATAAATCCAGATTTTAATGTCTTAAAACCTACTGAATAAAATAGGAAATGAAGAGTTCATACTGATATAAATAAATTAATTAACCATTTGATCCAAATAAGGATATTTAAATAAGTTAAAAGTATCTCCTCACCAAATACCTACAAAAAGAAAAAGGATAATCTTATGATAGAGAAGACTGGTAAACACCAACTTAACCAGTGATCAAAGTGAGCAGCATGACTGAAGTTAAAACCTGAAATCCTACCGCACTTGAGGAGATGCTGTGAGAAGAATGCAGTGTCATTTTTATGCTCTTCCTGCCAAACATGAAAATTGAATAACACACTTCTAAATGTTACATGTATCAAAGATGAAGTTTCAGTGAGAAATTTTGAAAAATACAATGAACTACTGACAATGAATATGTAACATATCAAAATTTCTTAGAGGGTGCTTAAGCAGTGCTAAAAGGGAATGTACAGCCCTAGATACCTATATTAAAATTATAAATATCATCAAATCAGTGATCTAAGCTCTCATATCAGGAACCTAGAGGAAGAAGAGCAAAATAAACCCAGAGTGAGCATAATGAAGAAAATAAAAATAAGAGCAGAAATCAATAAAATTGAAAATAGGGAAAAAATACAGTCATTGAAACAAAGACCTGGTTCTAGGGAAAGATTAATAAATTTGAAAAACCTCTAGTATGACTAAGGGAAAAAAAGGAGACACACATTACCAATATCTGGAATGAAACAGTGGCTATCGCTACAGATTCTTCAGACATTAAAATGATAAGAAGACAATATCATGAACAGCTCTTCACACATAAATTTGACAACCGAGAGAAAATGGACCAATTTGGCAAAGAAAAAATTCTTCCTGAATTCAACAATATGAAATACATAATTTGGACAGTCTTGTGAAGGAAATTGAATTCAGAATTTTAAAACTTCCTTGAAAAAGAAACCTCCAGGTCCAGGTGATTTTAGTAGCAAATTTTACCAAGTATTTAAAGGGTAAAAACCAGCATGCACATCCCCTTGTAGAAAATAGAACAGAAGATAACATTTCCCTAACAAGTTTGGGGAGTTAGAAAAAAAAATCCCAATTCATTTAATGAAAACAGCATTATCCAGACAAAAACTACAAAAGTCTACAGACTAATATTCATCATGGACATACATGGAAAAACTCTTAACAATATGTTAGTAAAACAATTCAGCAATTTATAAAAATAATCATATATGACCGAGTAGGGATTATTCCAGGCTGGTTCAACATTCCAAAATCAATTGATGTAATCTACCATATTAAACAGGCTAAAGAATAAAAAACTGTGTGGTCATATAAACTGATGCAGAAAAAGCATTTGAGAAACTTTAATACCCATTCATCATAAAAATTTTCAGTAAAGGCCGGGCGCGGTGGCTCAAGCCTGTAATCCCAGCACTTTGGGAGGCCGAGGCGGGTGGATCACAAGGTCAAGAGATCAAGACCATCCTGGTCAACATGGTGAAACCCCGTCTCTACTAAAACTACAAAAAATTAGCTGGGCATGGTGGCGCGTGCCTGTAGTCCCAGCTACTCAGGAGGCTGAGGCAGGAGAATTGCCTGAACCCAGGAGGCGGAGGTTGCAGTGAGCCGAGATTGCGCCATTGCACTCCAGCCTGGGTAACAAGAGCGAAACTCCGTCTCAAACAAAAAAAAAAAAAAAATTTTCAGTAAAATTAGTGAAAGACTGAATGCTTTAACCCTAAATTGGAAAAAAAGGGCAAGGATATCAACTCTTATCAATCTCATTTACCGTAGTTCTGGAAAATTATACCCAATGCAATAGGCAAGAAAATAAAGTAAAACACATGCAGATCCTAATGTAAGAAAGAAAATTGTCCATCTTTTCAAAAGACATAATTGTTTATGTAGAAAACTTAAGGAATCTGACAAAAACAAAGAAAAATTATAGAATTAAAATGTGAGTTCAGGTAGTTTTCAAGTATAAAGCAATGAGAAAAATCCATTATATTACTATACACTAGCAATGAACATGTGGACACCAAAATGAAAAAAACATTTATAATAGCTTTAATAAATAAAATACTTACTTGTAAATCTAATAAAGCATGTATGGGATTTGCATGGTAAATACCACAAAAACTGAGACAAAATCAGAGATCTAAGTAAATGGAGAGGCATATTATGCTCATAGATTGGAAGACTGAACATAGTCAATACTATGGCAATTCTCCCTAAATTGTAAAACTTTCCACCTTTACAGCTGCCTGTTCAATATTCGTTGAGACCATTCCAGCAGGAGGACTGGGGTCCTCACTGCAGCCTGGGGAGGGTGGAAGTCCAGGCTCCTTATTGTGCCTTAACTGGCATGGTTGGGGGTGGGACCACAGATTTTTCTGTGGTGGTTGGCTGGAGTAGAGCAGTTATTATCCAAAAGTTGTATCTTGTTAGCCTGTCCCTTTTCTGGTGTCTGGCTAGAAAGGGTTTTTTTTGTTTTTTGTTTTTTGGTTTTTTTTTTTTTTTTTTTGGTGTGTGCCCAGGGCATTTATTTTTGTCACTGTTCATTGTTGTTGCCAGTTTGCCAGCTTCTTTAGCTTCAAGTCTTACCAGTTGGATGACTACAGAGATGGGTAATAAACATGAAGAAATTTACATAGCAAATGGGAATAGTATATTATGGGTATTCTCATGATGCAAACAAGGCTTATATTCTCAATGACTTTTTCATATATCTTTCTCATAATTCACTTTTATTATTTTACATGTTAATTGGTCTGTGATGGATTCAACATTTTCAAGAAGTGGTCCTTCCTCACAGAACTTTTGGGAGGCAATGGTCTAAGGTATGATCATAGGAAGGGTGACTGAGATAGGATGGAAGTCAAACTCACTAGAGGTGAAAGGCAGGGGATTTGGGAGCATCACCCGGTTTATGCTGCTGTCCCTAGGGTGGTGCCACAAACAGGGAGGCGGCAAGGGCAGTGAGAGCCCTCTTTGTGTTCAGTGCCCTGGGGAAGCAGGTGCTGAGGAGGCAGGAGGGAGGCAGAGCTCAGGTGCCTTAAGATCATGAATCAGCTGCTTCCCATAGGGACATTCCTGCTGTTAAATAAAATTTATAGGAGGCCATTGGCTTGGACCGAGCTCCTGAACTAGGACCAACAGATGAAACCAAAATGGGTTCATCTGAAACCCACTTGTGCTGAAATTCCACATCATGAAATCAAAAGTAAGCTGTTTATCTGACCTTGAGAGAAATTGAGAAAGCTAGAAAAAATAGCAAAGCCCCAAGTAGGCCAGTATCAGCTGACAGAAGGCACTCCCCGTGCTTTCACCTTTGCAAGAGAAGTAACTGATGAAATCGCCAATCTGCCTTTTGTACTGATTCTGCTTTCCTCGGCCCTTTTCTGTGTATAGAAACAACCTCCTCTACTTGGCCCCCAGGAACACTCATTTCATTGTTTAGATTGAGGGATTGCCCAATTATAAAATCACAAATAAAGGCCAATTAGTATCTTTAAACTTAATTTGTTATAACTTTGTTTTTTTTTTTTTTTTTTGAGACGGAGTTTCGCTCTTGTTACCCAGGCTGGAGTGCAATGGCGCGATCTCGGCTCACCGCAACCTCCACCTCCCGAGTTCAGGCAATTCTCCTGCCCCAGCCTCCTGAGTCCCTGGGATTACAGGCACGCGCCACCATGCCCAGCTAATTGTTTTTTGTATTTTTAGTATAGACGGGGTTTCACCATGTTGACCAGGATGGTCTCGATCTCTTGACCTCGTGATCCACCCGCCTCGGCCTCCCACAGTGCTGGGATTACAGGCTTGAGCCACCGCGCCCGGCCATAACTTTGTTTTTTGACACTGCCCATCAGCCTCCAGGTGAGCATGAGGCTGGTAACCTGGAGGCTGATGGGCAGTTGCACCCAGTTGTCACTCAGGCCAGCCCCCTGTGATTTTCCTGAGCTGCACTTGTCCTAAGAGAGTGTGCCATGGCCCTGACTCCGGTCAGGGGCTTGCCAAATAGAAACCCAATGTGTGCAAGCTGCAGCTGGACCCGATGGCCAAATGAAAGAGCATGGCCTCAGGGGCAACTCTTCTAGGAGGAGATGCCCCCAGTCTTCGGGAAATTTCAATCCCTTCAAATTCCAAGTTCAGGAGACAGGAATGGGGCCAGAGCTGTGGAGTGGGACACTGGGCTCTGCACACCAGGACAGCCTTGGGCTCCAATTTCTGATTTGCATGTAAAGTCAGCAGCATATGGCCACTGTCAGTCCTCACAGGGGTCACTCATTGCAAGGTCAGGGAAAAGGTACCTTCACTGAAGTCTTTCCTCAGGTAGATAAAAAGCAGGGCCTGAATCTCAGAAGTCCCTGAAGTGGTGGGAATTACTGAGACTCACATGACATGGTCAGACAATTACTAGGGCAGTGGAACCTGCTCTCCACGCCCCAGGCCTTTCAGACTGATAGGATTTCAATGTGAAACTCTGGTTGCTTTGAAGAGACTGAGTATTGGACCTGTAAAAAGCCATCAGTCTGGAAGGCAAGGCTCCTCTCTGAGACCTGGAACAGGCAGAGAGCGTTGCACATTTGGCAGTAATGTTGCCGGCACTGCCACATGCGGATGCAGGCCTGGAGCTTGACCGCCGCCTGCTCCTGGATGCCATAGGCCCTCAGCAGGGCCTGCCGCCGCTGACGGATCCGCCTCTGCACCAACGTCCTCCACCAGCACTGAATCATCCAGGCCCTGAGGGCAGCGACCAGCAGGGTCCGGCGCACCAGGACCCCACGCCACCAGGCCTGGATCTGCCCAGCCGCCTTCACCCTTTTTCTGTGATGCAGTTGTGCAAGAAGTAACTAGCCAAGCAAAGCAAAGGACTCCCAGTGAATTTGTCAACATCAAACACAGGTCGTTCTCCAAAGAATCCACTCTCCCACTGCTGGTTCCCAGGACTGATTCTTTACAGAATCAGACCCCCCCGCCGCCGCGGGTTCTGAGGTCCTCTACTTCTGTCCTGTCCATGGCTCCGGGCACCCTCAGAGCAGTGTCTTCAGCTATGAAATTGGGATATGCTTGACCTGTGGACTTCTCAAGTCCATGGGACAAGGGGAGACACTTTCTGGTCCAGACGACCTGACTGGAAGATCAGGGTGTGAGGAACTGAAGGATCTTTATGAGAATCAGTGAATCTCTGCATTTATGGCCTGTGTCCTGGTCCAAACTCCGGCCCACGATGCTGCCTCTTCATGCCTGGTGTGGTGCCACAGCCCTTTGGGGTCTTCCCTCACCTCACTTCTGTGGACTCCCACTTCCACTTCTCAGTCCCTCCTTATCCTCCTAGGCCTTTCCACCTCCGTCTGTGCTGAGCCCCACCTGCCAGGCGGTCTGTGAACATGCTGCTTCCTCCCCTCTCTACTGTCTATCTCCATAACATGCAATTCATCTGGGAGAGGGAGGGCTTGAGGGAATAGGGGCGTAATGATGAACCAGCACCCTTGGGATCAGAGATGGAGCCTCCACATCCAAGAACCGAGGTTGGTCAATGATCTGCAGTTCTCTCCTCCTGGGCCCCACCTACCTGCTGCGGCTTCTCTTTCTCTAGTGTGTTTTCATCTGTACTAGGCTTCTGCAATCAGAATGTGGGGGTCGGGGAGCACAGGTTAGGACCAGCCTGGCTGCAAAGTCCCCACAGCTGCAGCTCCCCATTTTTTTGCCTGGGTCCTAGGAAGTCATCTGGTGCTTCCCTGGGCCATGGGACAAATCCCAACCTCTGGGGGAGTGTGTGTGCCTCAGTCTTACACAGCATATACTGCCCATGGTGGGGAGCGGTGGTTCAGGTGATCATGACCTTTCTGGTTGCTGCTCCCTGACCTTGGCAGGGGCAGGACATGTGGAGGAAGAGAGGGGATGATGTCACAAGGGCAACTATGACCAGGGTCTAGGGTGCCTTTTCCAGGCTCTAAGTTGATGGATAAGGAGCAAACACCTGCCCTCCTGTGCGACTTCCTCAAGCAACTCCGTTGAATAAAAATTGTGCAAATATCCTTTCCCAGATTGTCATCTGCCTGTTAACTTTTTTCATGGTTATCTTTCCTTCCACAGTGATCTATAATTTTGACATGCTAGAATTCATTGTCCCTTTACAATTCTGCTTTTGTAGTTTTCTAATGAAATGCTTTACCACCCAGATCACGTGTTTTTCTATTAGATTCTGGTCTACCATTTACATTGAGATCTTTTAACATTTAATGAGATGGTTTTATAAAGAAACTTCATGTACATCCTTTAAAATGATTTATTCTTTTTTTTTTTTTTTTTTACAAGACAGAGGTTTATTGGACTTACAGTTCCCCGTGGCTGGGGAGGTCTCATAATTATGGCAGAAGGTGAAAGGCATGTCTCACATGGTGGCAGACAGGAGAGCTTGTTCAGGGAAAGGCCCCTTTTTAAAACCATCAGGTCTCATGACTCATTCACTATCACAAGAACAGTGCAGGAAAGAACCACCCTCATAATTCAATCACCTCCCACTGGGTTCCTTCCATGACACATGGGAATTATGGGACATACCATTCAGGATGAGATGTGGGTGGGGATACAGCCAAACCGTATTAATACCCATGCCTGTTTTTACTCCTTACATTCTAAGTGATTTATTCATGGTAGGTCTTTCTATATTGGAAACATAAGAACTCCAGTCAGCAACAAAATTTTGTTCACCAGCTTGCCTGGAACTGCTAACTTTTATTGTAACCCTTTTAGTAACTTTGAATGTTGTGCTGTATGTCATGTCAAATTACACTGAAAATGTAGTTTTCCCTTCCTGCTAACACTCAGTCTTGCTTTCTTTTTTTTTTTCCTTTTATTTATTTTATTGCATTTTAGGTTTTGGGGTACATGTGAAGAACTTGCAAGATTGTTGCATAGGTACACACGTGACAGTGTGATTTGCTGCCTTCCTCCCCATCACCTACATATGACATCTCTCCCCTTGCTATCTCTCCCCAACTCCCCACCCCCACCGTCCCTCCCCTATTTCCCCCCAACTGACCCCAGTGTGTAGTGCTCCCCTTCCTGTGTCCATGTGTTCTCATTGTTCAACACCCGCCTATGAGTGAGAACATGCGGTGTTTGATCTTCTGCTCTTCTGTCAGTTTGCTGAGAATGATGGTTTCCAGGTTCATCCATGTCCCTACAAAGGACACAAACTCATCGTTTTTGATGGCTGCATAATATTCCATGGTGTATATGTGCCACATTTTCCCTGTCCAGTCTATCGTCAATGGGCATTTGGGTTGGTTCCAGGTCTTTGCTATTGTAAACAGTGCTGCAATGAACATTCGTGTGCACGTGTCCTTATAGTAGAACGATTTATAATCCTTTGGATATATACCCAGTAATGGGATTGCTGGGTCAAATGGAATTTCTATTTCTAGGTCCTTGAGGAATCGCCACACTGTCTTCCACAATAGTTGAACTAATTTACACTCCCACCAACAGTGTAAAGGTGTTCCTGTTTCTCCACATCCTCTCTAGCATCTGTTGTCTCCAGATTTTTTAATGATCGCCATTCTAACTGGTGTGAGATGGTATCTCAATGTAGTTTTGATTTGCATTTCTCTGATGACCAGTGATGATGAGCATAAAATGATTTATTTTAAGAAGCTTATAATTTTGAAAAAAGAAAAATAACTGTGAAGATTTTCTGTAACAGATTGTCCCTTTGGTGAGACAGCTACTTTTAATTTTTCCATATACTTCTCTTTTTTTGTTGTCATTTTTCTCTTTTTAAAATTTATTTTTCTGTATACTTCTCATATGATTGACTTCTATAACATAGTATATTGAAAATTCTTCATTTTCTCTTTTAGATATTATTTATTGACTTACTTTCATGAAATGAAGATTTCCCTGTTTTCACCTTTCTGCTCTCCTCTCAATATGATTATAGCATCACAGTTTTTGGGTCAGTAGGTATTCAGTGCTTCCATCATTGTGATTGTATTTCCTGTCCATTGGGGCTTAGCAACATGGTAGATTGCTATGACATAGCCTTTCATTTACTTCCTGTCTGTTTTTCCTGGAGCTATTTATTGCCATGGTTTGCACTAACTCATCTCCAACTTTCCACCAACACTTGGCTAATCAATCAACTCTGCTTTTTCGTGGAGCCCTGCACCACTCTCTGCAATCTGTGTAGCTGTTCTTCATACCTACTGCCTGGTCATTATTCTGGAGTATCCTCTCCATGGTATCTCCTTGGAATTTCCTTCCCCTCTCCCCTGTGAGGACGCCCTTACTAACTGGATCCCACATGTAGCAGGCATGGTTTCATAGGGGATACAGAGTCATTCTGGATGATATGGGATAAGGAATTCATTATAGGAATTAGAACTTACACGATTGTGTGAGCATCTGGAAAACGGAAGATCTGGAAGAAAGTGCTGAAGGTGCAGAGAAAAAGTCACTAAGTAGTGCTTATGAAGCTCTCTAGGGTGGGCACATAGGAGCTTGTAAAGGAATTTACGCAACAGGCACATCCAGCTGCTGACTGGCGCTGTGAAGTAGAAGGTCATGGAGAGGGCTAGGAAAGCTGTTGTCCATCTGGGTGCAGGGCCAAGCCTCATGCAGTAGGCCAGGAGCTGCTGTTGGTCAGCAAGGCAAGGAGAGAGCCAGATGCATGGCAGGAAAGTGAGGGAGACCTAGAAGGCTCTGGACACCTGTGTCCATCAGCCTCCATGTCTGACGTCAGAAACACCACCCGCTTCACTTCTGCCTCCTCAGTCTCATGCAACCTCCCATTTGGCAACTTGGACCCAAAAATCAGGGAAGGGGATTCTGGGAAATGTAGTTCTTAAACAAACGCATTCACATCCAGGGCTCCATGGTGTTCTGTGAAGATTCTGCTTTACTCTTCACACTGAGCCTTACCACATGACAGGAACACAGTCGTACACACTCCCTTCCCCTCTGTCTTGGATGTCGTCACTCATCTTCACAGAGCACCTCTTAGGACAGCCTCCAAAGAAAGGGCACATGGACATAAATTGGTAGAACTTTGCAAGACTGAAAATGACTCTATTCTGTCCACAAATCTGCCTGACAATTTTGCTGGGTTTTACATTCTAGAATGAAAATAATATTCCTTCAGAATTTTGAGAACTTTGTTCCACTTTCTATGAGAAGTTTTTACTATGATTTCTTTCTTTGTTGGGTGTGACCTCTTCTTTCCTCTCTGGACACTTTTAATATTTTTCTCCGCACCCTCCTGGGCCTTTCCACTTCCGGCTGTGCTGAGCTCCACCTGCTAGGTGCCCTGTGCACACGCTGCTTCCTCCCCTCACTACTGGCTATCGCCTGTCTCCTTACTCTATCCCCATACCTTACTCACCGTACCCAGGAGAGGGAGGGCTTGAGGGATAGGAGGGCAAAGCTGAGGCAACACTCCTGGGATCTGAGACGGAGCCTCAGCTTCCATGGCCTGGAGTCAAAGAGCCAATGCTCTGCTGTTCTCTCACCCTCCTGAGCCCCACTTACCATCCGCAGTTTCTCTCTCCAGTTCAGATCCTTACCTGGATTGGACTTCTGCAATCGGAATGTGGGAGTCGGGGAGCACAGATGAGGACCAGCCTAGCTGCAAAGTCCCCACAGCCTCAGCTCCCCCACCCCTTTAATTGCCTGGGTCCTAGGTAGTTGCCTGATGCTTCCCTCTGCCAGGGGACAACTCCCTACCCCTGGGGGAGTGTGTGTGCCTGAGTCTTACACAGAATTTACTGCCCATGGTTTCCAGCAATGACTCAGGTGATCATGCCCCTCCTCGTGGGCCGGAGGAACTTTGCCAACTTACGTTATATGTGTGAGACCGTCCCTTCCCCAGTGGGCTCCTCTGGTGGTGGCAGTGGTTGCTGCTTTCCTGTCTTGGGAGGGGCAGGAGGGGTGGAGAAGGAGATGGCCAAGGTGTCATAAGGGCAACTATCATCGGGGACGCGGGTGCCTACTCCAGGCTCAGAGTTGATGGATAAAGAGCAAACACCTACCTATTTCCCTCCTGCCATGAATGTATTGGAGTCCACATTGGAACCATAGCCTCCGTAAGTCTGTCATGCCTGGAGGATGACCTGGGGACTGGTTCATCCATAGGCCCTCCCTGTCATCAGCCACTGAAGAGCAGAAGGTGTGGTGTTAAGCGGGGCACATGGGTCTTTTCGCCAGGCTGGCTCTGGCTGGCTCCCAGGGCTCCCTTGCTTTCTCCACCATCAGCTCTCCTCAGTGAGTTTGGGTGTTTTTCTATTATTGAAAATCAGAGTGGACAGGCGTTGGTGAGCAGAAGGGCTGAGGCATGATTGTGATGGAGGCACCTCAGCCAATTTCTACTCCTGTCCTCCTGCCACTGTCACTCTGATCACTTTGTGGCTGTTTGGTTGTGCTTAGATGACCAGTGTATGATCCTTAAAACAAGTCCTTCCATTTTGTGTCTGAAACTTCATAGGCTGAAGTAACTTTCCTAACTTATGTGTGAGATACAGTCCCTTCCCCAGTGGGCTCCTCTGGTGGTGGCAGTGGAGATATATATATCTATATCTAGATATATATCTATATATAAATATATCTATCTATATATATATCTAGATATATATAGATCTAGATATATATATAGATATATATATACGTAAAATAAATATATAAGAATATTTTCAACTTTTATTTTAGATTTAGATGGGACACATGCAGGTTTATTACATAGGCTTATTGTATTGCATTATTACATAGGTTTATTTCAATAAATTGTGATAAACCTCCTTCTCCACCTTTCCCACCCCTCCCAAGACTGGGCATCTGGGTTTGAAGTATGAATGGTACTGTCACCCAGGTAGTGAGCACAGTACCCAACAGGTAGTTTTTCAGAACCTGTCTGGCTTCCTCTTTCTCCCCTCTAGCAGTCCCCAGTGTCTACTGTCCCATCTTTATGTCCCTGTATACTCAATGTTTAGCTCCTAGTTCTACGTAAAAACATGTGGTCTTTGGTTTTCTGTTTCTGCATTAATTCACTTAGGTTAATGGAATGGCCATGTAATGAGTCAGTTATTCTACCTTGCTTTCAAAGCCAGCAGTCTTGGTTGTTCCCAACACCATTTCTCACCATGTTTCACAGCCAGGATGTGGCCCCTTTCCTTTAAGGCTAAGTTATCTATCAACTTCCCACCATGGAAGGTTAGGATGAGGCTTACTGCCCCATTCCAAACAACCCCACTTCTTTATTTGGCTAGGGGTGCCCCCTAATGCTAGATCATACCAAAGTCCTTTCAAATACCTGGAAATCCTTCCGAAGAAGGACAGGTCTAAACAAGTCCAGACTATGAAGACTATGATATATACCTAACACTTCAGTGCCCGGACACCAACAAACATCCACAAAGCATAGACCATCCAGGAAAACATGACCTTACCAAATGAACTAAACAAGGCACTAGGACCAATCCTGGAGAAACAAATGTGTGATCTTTCTGACAGAGAACTAAAAATGACTGTTTTGAGGAAACTCAAAGAAATTCAAGATAACACAGAGAAGGAATTCAGAAGTCTGTCATATGTATTTAACAAAGAAATAGAAATAAATAAAAAGAATCAAGAAGAAATTCTGGAATTTCTGACATACTGGAGAATGCCTCAGTCTCTCAATAGCAGAACTGATAAGCAGAAGAAAGAGTTCATGAGCTCAGAGACAGGCTATTTGAAAATACACAGTCAGAGGAGACAAAAGAAAAAAGAATAAAAAGAATGAAGCATGCCCACAAGATCTAGAAAATAGGCTTAAACTCTTATCCTCAAATCTAAGAGTTATGGTCCTTAAAGAGGAGGTAGAGAAAGAGAAAGGAGTAGAAAGTTCATTTAAATGAACAATATCAGAGAACTTCCCGAACCTAGAGAAAAATATCAATATTCAAGCAGAAGAACGTTATAGAATACCAAGAAGATTTAACCCAAAGAAGACTACCTCAGGCATTTTACAATCAAACTCCCAAAGGCCAAGGATAAAGAAAGGATCCTAAAAGCAGCAAGAGAAAAATAAACAAAAACATAAAATGGAGCTCCAATATGTCTGCTGGCAGACTTCAGTGGAAACTTTACAGGCCAGGAAAGAGTGACATGACATATTTAAAGTGCTGAAGGACAAAAGCCTTTAACCCTAGAATAGTATATCCAGTGAAAATATCCTTCAAATATGAAGGGAAATAAAGACTTTCACAGACAAACAAAAGCTGAGAGATTTCATCAACACAAGACATCTCTTACAAGAAATACTAAAGGGAGTACTTCAATCTGAAAGAAAAGGACATTAATGAGCAATCAGAAATCATTTAAAGGTACAAAGCTCACTGGTAATAGTACATACACAGAAAAACAGAGAATATTATAACACTGTAACTGTGGTGTGTAAACTACTCTCATCTTAAGTAGAAAGACTAAAAGATGAGTCAATCAAAAATAATAACTACAGCAACTTTTCAAAGCACAGCACAATAAGATATAAACAGAAACCACAAAAAGTTTAAAAGTGGGGCATGAAGTTAAAGTGTAGAGTTTTTATTTGTTTTCTTTTTGCTTGTCAATTAGTTTATGCAAGTAGTGTTAAGTTGTTATCAGCTTTAAATAATGGGTTATAAGATAGTATTTCCAAGTCTCATGCCAACCTCAAGTCAAAGAACATACAACAAATGCATGCACACAAAAAAGCAAGAAATTAAATCATTCCACCAGAGAAAATCACCTTCACTAGAAGGAAGACAGGAAATAAATAAGGGAGAGAAAGGCCAAAAAAACAATGAGAAAACATATAACAAAATGGCAGGAGTAAATCTTTACTTATCGATAATAACATTATATGTAAATGGACTAAACCCTCCAATCAAAAAGCATAGAGTGGCTGGGTGTGATGGCTCACACCTGTAGTCCTAGCACTTTGGGAGGCTGAGGCAGGTGGATCACTTGAATTTGGGAGTTTGAGGCCAGCCTTGGCAATATGGCAAAACCCTGTCTCTACAAAAAATACAAAGATTAGCCAGGCGTGGGGGTATGCACCTGTAGTCCCAGCTACTTGGGAGGCTCAGATGGGATGACACTTGAGCCTAGGTGGCAGAGGTTGCAGTGAGCTGAGATCATGCCACTGCACCCCAGCCTGGGTAACAGAGCAAGATCGTGGCTCAAAAGAAAGTTTAAAAAAAAGGATGTAGAGTGGCTGAATTGATAATAGAAACAAGATCCAATGCCTACAAGAAACACACTTTACCTATAAAGACACACATAGGCTGAAAATAAAGGGATGGAAAAATATATTCCATGCCAATAGAAACTGAAAAAGAGCAGTAGCTATAGGTATATCAGACAAAAAATAGACTTCAAGACAAAATCTGTAAGAAGAGACAAAGTAATTATATAATGATAAAAGGATCAATTCAGCAAGAGGATATAACAATTATAAATATATGTGCACCCAACATTGGACCATCCAGATACATAAAGCAAACATTATTAGAGCTAGAGAGACAGATGGACCCCAATACATTAATAGCTGGAGATTTCAAGATACCACTTTCAGCATTGGACAGATCTCCCAGACAGAAAATCAACAAAGAAACATCTGACTTAATCTACGCTATAGAACAAATGGACCTAATACATATTTACAGAACATTTTATCCAATGACTGAAAAATACACATTCTCTTCCTTAGCACATGGATCATTTTCAAGGATAGACCATATATTAGGTCACAAAACAAGTCTTAAAATGTTCAAAGATAGAAATATCAAGCACCTTCTCTTATCACAAAAGAATGAAACTCAAAGTCAATAACAATAAGAATTTTGGAAACTATGCAAACACATGGAAATTAAACAATATGCTTCTGAATGACCAGTGGTTCAAGGATAAAATTAGTAAGAAAATTGAAAACTTTCTTGAAACAAATGTTAATGGAGACACAACATACCAAAATCTATAGGGTGAGCAAAAGCAGTACTAAGAGGGAATTTTATAGCTATAAGTACCTACATCAAAAAAGAAGAAAAACTTCAAATAAACAACCTTATGATGCACCTTAAAGAACTAGAAAAGCAAAAGTAAACCAAAACTGAAACTCATAGAAGAAAAGAAATCATAAAAATTCAAGCAGAAATGACATGAAATTTTACATGAAATTTAAATGAAGCAAATAATACAAAAGATCAATGAAATGAAAAGTTGTTTTTTAATAAAAGACGAACGAAATTGACAAATCTTTAGCCATGTAAACTAAGAAAAAAAAAGAGAGAAGACCCAAATAAATAAAGTGAGAGATGAAAAAAGAGACATTACAACAAATACTGCAGAAATTCAAAGGATCATTAGTGGCTGTTATGAGCAACTCTTTGCCAGTAAGTTGGAAAATCTAGAAGAAATGCACAAATTCCTAGATGCATACAACCTACTAAGAGTGAACCATGAAGAAATCCAAAACCAGAATAGACCAATTACAGGTAACAAGATCAAAACCATAATAAAAGGTCTGTCAGCAAAAAAAAGCCTAGGACCCAATGGCTTCACTGCTGAATTCTACCAAACATTTAAAGAAGAAATAATTCCAATTCTACTCAAACGATTCTGAAATATAGAGGAGGAGGGAATACTACCGAACTCATGCTATGAGGCCAGTATTACCCTGATACCAAAACCAGATCAAGATACATTAAACAACAACAACAACTACTACTACCACAGGCCAGTATCTCTGATGATATGGAT